TCTTCCGCATCCCCTTTCTTCCTCTTTTGACATTGTAATTGATGCGCTGTTGTGGACCGTCGAAAGCGGCAACCTTCAAGACGCACCAAGGATCCACTGACACTAATCACTTACACGGGAAACGGGTGCCAAGATGTCGATCACTGATGAAGACCTCCAGTTTATGGCGGATGGCTTGTGGCAAGATGCACTTCTGCCTGACCTAACCGACATCTACGGAATTGACATGGGCACGGCCGGTGAGGTGATTGAGACACCTGGGGACAGGTTGCTGAACCCGCCCGAGGCCGGCAGTGGCAATGACAGAGCGAAATCGTCTTCAAACAAGAAAGTCTCGCCTGCCACAAAACCCGTGAAGACCTCGAAGAGCAAGGTCAAGCAATCTACAGACGAGGGAGCGCCTCCAATGCCCGACCTCTACCTCTCCTCGCCCGTCGAAGTCCCGCCCAAAAAGGGCGGCAAGATGAGCAAGTCCATGAAGGGTGCATCGCAAAACGAGTCTCAGAGAGGTAGGCCTCACGGTCCTGCCAAACCACACAAACCAGTGAGTTCTAGATGCAATCGCGACAAATGTGAGTCAAGGACGATATTTCTAACCCAGCCCGTCCAGAACGCCATGTTTCCGGAACTGGAGACCGACAGTGGCGACCCCTACGAATTGCCAATCTCGCCCAAGTCAAACCACAGACCTCAGGATCCTGTTGGCATTGAGAAAAGAACAAGCAACAAAAGCACGTCACCGGTGGCCGTACCCACCAAGCCATCCAGCCCTGTCGGAGGACTGATCCCTTCGGCCAAGAAGTCTGTCAAGAATCAGAAGCGAGTTGCAAAGCGGTCGTTCCTCGATCCTCTTTCCACGCCGCTGCAATCAGACACCAAAGTGGCCACAACCCAGATGCCGCTGCCCAATCCTACTACAAAAGATACAAACCCTGTTGTCCCAGCCACCAAGTCGGTGCAGAAGCCCAAAGCTACCAGGAGACCGGCACCTGCAAAGAAGGCAGCAAAGCCCAAAGAGATCAAGAAGAAGACAGTTGCCCGTCCTCCTCCCTTCAAAGAAAAGAAGGTGGAGCACGCAGAAGACAAGTACCACATTCAAGATGGCACTGTCTCCGCAGAGAACAAGAATACGGAGAATGAGAACATCACTAAGAAGCTTCGGCCGCGTAGTGAGCGTGCGCCTATTATGATTAGCTCAGACTCGGCGAGCAGCTACGAGGAAGATGGCTACGAGTCGGATGTCGCCTTTGTCCCTGATACCGGCATGACATCCATCACAACCCCTGTTGCACAGATGGATCCCCCTGATTCAGTTGCGAAAGTACCATCCAAGCCGGTGACAGACAGGTCCGTGGCAGCATCCTCGGGACGGCCAAAGCACGACGAAGTCTCCGCTGATGCCAACCACAAGAATGCCAGCACTCGCAAGTCTGTCAAGGTCAAGAATGAGATAATGAATGATGGCAAGGAATCTCTCATTTGTGGCAGGCAGATTTCTCGCAGTGTGCAGTCTCTGGAAATGCAAAATTCTCACCAAAAGCGCCAGAGATCACCTTCCGCCGCACCAGATCATCACGCAGCACCAAAGAAACAGAGAGCGGAGCCGGTCCGCACCGAATCCCGGGTGCGCAACGTGCTCCAGCAAATGGCTGTACCTAAAGATCCTTTTGTCGAAGAGATGGACGAGAATGAGCCAAGCCGGACGCACTTTACGACCAAATTGCTTCAAAGCGCCGCTCCGGCTGTGCAACCAGCTCAGCCTGCAATGCAGCCAGCACCGCGCTACGATAAGCAGCACCACGTTGCACAGAACAAGTCGCACTATGTTGCACCTATGCCTCAGGTGCCGCCGAGAGTTCAACCTGATGGTCCTTGTCAGGCAAAGTCCAAGCCTGTCGATTCGGATGGCATCGCGCGTGAGATGATGAAGCTTCTCGCTACCAGGGCGAACGACAGCCCTGGCCGGGCGCAAACTGCCAAGGACGTATGGCTGGAGGAAATCGACCCCTATAAAGAGACAGGCCAAATCATGGGCTATGTATGCAAGGTGAGTGCCGAGTGTCCTTTATTCTTAATGCTTTTAAAACATACAGACTCTGCTAACAAGACAGACCATCCTTCGCTTCCTCAAGTCCAAAGAAGCGGCCATCGAAGACGTGGCCGAAGAGTATCAGCAGCGCGGAGCAGCCGTCCTCGCCCGCATGAGTGCCCTCCACGGACGTGAGCGCTGTGCCCTCATCCATACCTTTGAACAGAGCCGGCAGAGGTCGCTTGCTATTTTTGAAGCCGCACAGCGCGACGTGCGCATACTAGCGGCTCGGCTCGAGCGAATGAATCTGGCCCCCGTGATCCAGAACGTGCTGGCCGACAATGCCGGCTCCCGGCTGCGCTTGCTGCATAACGAGATGGTGTAATATGATGTGTGTGTGGGTGTTTGACGTCTTCATCGTTCCTTGCTTTTGTCATTCAGCACTCCCAATTACCAACAGTGTGTTTAGCTTCATGTCAGCATCATTTCTGCTACTTGTACAGCTTGGCGTCTAAGTGCAGTTTTTTCGGCCACTACTTTGTTCGTTCAGTTCCTCTCTTAGCCTTGATTGAGGTTTTGCTTCGCTGCTTCACACATTTCTGTCTTTGCCTATTCCATTTGCCGTCTGTTTCGATGTTGTATTTGTCGCGTGCCTTGTTTTCTGCAATGTTTTCGTTGCCCGATCTGGACCAGCGTCATCGTTGTGCTTATCGTCTCTTATTCGTTTACTATTCGTCACATTTTATCCACACATGCAGGCGGGGTGATTTAGGCAAACTGTGCGGTACCAACTGGAAAGTTACAGGCTGAGACGATGGAGTTGATGATGGGTGGCGCACTGCGCAGCGGTGACAAGAAGGAAGTGAGAGATGTCAAGATAAAGAAGAGCAAAGAAGAGGAGGCTGAAAAAGATGAAAACTGGCGAAGGGGGGACTTTACGGAACAATAGATGAGCCTGATGGGGTATTCTCTAACTGATAGATTTAATAGAGAAGTGAGCAAAGTTCTAGACTTTATCATCGTCGTAGACCTTTCGTTCCCTGTATGAATATGGCGATGACACAATTGTGCCACAGTGGATGTGACGGCATTTTGGGCACAGCTCCGGAGGCCAACAGTGCTAGGCGGCGACGATCCGAATGGGGATGGCCTGGCTCCACTCACTGCTGAGCGCCCACGCTACTGCTCCATTACGTAGGATATGTGCTACCAGGTCGAAATACAGCCTCACTCCACAGAACCCAACGCCAGACCTTGCCCAGGTCCTATGCTGTCATCTTTCTTATCGTCAATCGGTACGTTCCGTCCATCTAATTGGCTGCCTACAATCTCGTGAACTTTATATTCATCCGCAACACGCAGGTTGTACTGGCATCGAAGACAAGATATTCTCGTCGTTTCTTTTAGGTATGCCAGATATACCTATGTAGAGGGATAGTAAAAGTGTTTTGAACTTTCTGTTTGTTTCTGCTGCTGGTTCTATGCGGGCCTTTTCTTTCCTCTGTTTTCATATGCTATTTTATGATGTATTATGTCGAAATCGAATTGGCCTCATCGTGACGACATTTAAAATTCACACTCGTCCTAGCCAAGCGGCGTCGTTATTAAAAGATACGCACCGAAATTGAAGGCCTATATAAAGACGAGCACCTTCTCTCTTTCTTGCAGAAGAAATCTCTCTCATCGCCAACCCAACCGAACGTTGCTCTGCCAAAGCTTACGCATTGCCTCGACTTCGCATCTCTACTGTCTGCTGCTTTCTCGCATCCATTAAGGTTCTCTCAGTCGCTTTCCACGCGGCATTCCAACACCTTCACCAATACGCATCTCCGCACTTTTTGCCTTTCTGCTTTTCTTGGTAGAGAGCAAAGCTCCATCGTCGTCAATTCGTTGTGACAATCAGCCTTTGTATCGACAAAATAAACAAAAAAACCGACCACACATCGATATCGACAACATTAACGACATCACAAGCCACAAACGGTCCATCGCTTCGGCAAGCCACAGGCACTGGCGACGCGTTACAAGTTACTTGTTGAAACGGTCACCTGCTGCGCTAAGACGCCCCAAACCGCCACTACCACTCACCTGCGGCGTCGTTTTGGTGCCCAGAACATCCCACAGCGTCAGACTAGGAAACGAATCAGTGGCCTGCCCTCTCTTCTGCCTGGTCCGCCAGCCCCTCTTCTCTCCAGCAACACCCGCCCTCTTTCTGCGCCTTTTCGCTTCCTGCTTTTCAGCCTACGCCCTTTCCCGCTAGTAGGATCCTCTCTACGCTTCGTCTCTTTTCGCCGCCTTTTCTTCCTTTTCGGTCTCTCCGCCCTCTGTCGTCATCTTCGTTCCTTGGTCTGTTCCCTTTTTTTGTTCTCCAGAAATTAAAAGAGACCAACGAAAAAACAACGACGACGCACACGACCCGGCCCGAAAGCGAACAAAACGCAGTGATCAAGCGAATCGAACCACAAAAAAAAGAAAAAAAGACAGACGAGAGCAACTTTACGACTTCAACGAAAAGCGAACCGCCCGAAACGACAAGACGGCTCTGGACGTGTCAAAGCGATTATCTCACGATAGTCTAACAAGCGACAATTTGACATCAACGACACCAGCGACAATCCGGCCAACCAAAGATCCCCTCCATTCAGACGACGAGCAGACAGCGGACAGACTCTCTGCCGCGTCTTGACTCTCTCCTCTCCTTTCTGTCTTCCGTTTTTCTGTCTGTGGCCTGCGTTCCGGCAAGACAATGCCCTTTCGGCAACGCTTTGCACGCCATTTAGGAGACTCTGTAAGTTGACAGTGACCGATCAGATCGTCGATTTCAAAATTAGACTGGTTGGGGTTTCTTTTGTCTGTTGTCTTTTGCCTCTGCTTTTTCGGGGGATTTTCTTTTGCGGTTTCGCACGTATCACTTCCCTGCACTTTCACCTGTACGCGCTCTACGTTGTCGAACGGCGACAATCTCGACACGATGGAGCCTGCCATGCACGGCCAAAGGCAGGATGACGCCTTGAAGGCCGCCCACGTTGCCGCCGAGGAGGACCTCCACGAGGACGATTCGGTTCACGTGATAATTGATCTGACCGGGTCGGATTCTGGCTCGGACTCGGACAACGAGAACGGCAAGAACGGCAGCAACTGCAAGAACGGAAAGACCGACCACGGCGACCATGACGACGCAGGTGCAAAGGAAGCAGACGATGAGACGGGCGTGTCCGAAATTGGAAGGGACGACCTTGCGTCCACGGCGCCTGGCGTCAACTTTGATACCTACTTTGACTGGACTGCACCTGCCTCAGACGCTCCGTCCCCTCGCAGACCGTCCACCCAGTCGTCTTCGTCGTCTGCCTCTGCCATCCTCTTCGACTCGATCGAGCGCTTCTACGAGTCGCCTCCGTCGGCCGTCAGCACCCCCCCACAGTCTTGTCGCAAGCGGAGTCGGGACGAGTTCTGCTATTCAGATGGAGACGAGAACGTGTTGCCCGCCGAAGATGAGGTCGATGTCATGGCTGAGGTCAAAGAGACCGTCATAGATGAGCATGCCAATCGCAAATCGGATCGCGACCACGGCCACGACGTCATTGTCATTGATGACGACGAGGCCGAGGGCGACGCTGGCATCACTCGGGACGCAAGCAAGAACACGATTTACACGTCCGAGGTCTATGACGGGGTCTTTGATGACTCCTTTTTGGACACAATGTCGCTTGATGACCTGTTGGCGCTCGTCCATCAGAGCAACAAGGCTGCCGAGGCTGCTCATGCCGCCAGCATCGGCACGTCGGCCTCCACTCCTCCCTCGGCGACCGTCCTCACACAGAACATCGCTCTTGACCCTCCTGTGCGCTACAACCTCACCTACACCCGCGCGCTCGTCAAGCGGTTGGAATCTCTGGAGGAAATCGAGGTGTCCGTCAGCCATGTGATGGACGCCAAGGGGTTCCCGCTCCTCGTTACCAGCCAGGACGAGCCCATGTGCATGACACCTGTCAAGCAACCCTCCCTTCCCGTCACGTCACCTATTCTCCCCCCTCCCAGGGCCTTGCGCCTGCATCCCCATGCTCTGGATGGCGCCGTTAGTGACGGCGACCACCTGCTTGTGCATCGGCGCGAGTGGGATGCCGACCGCGGCGGTTACAAAGGCACGCCTCGTCATAGTCATAGGCGCACCTGGATTTCTGCATTGGACTACTACGACGGCAGTGCGCCCAAGTCCAAACCGGTGACAGGCTTGCCGCGGGGCCCCGTCTCGTGCCAGTGGACGAGACGGCTGAGCAGCGAGGAGGAAAGGCTCTTGGAGTCGTTTGGGACACGTGCCACGCGCGGTGCCCAGGCGCAGTATTCGGATTTCGTGTTGAGCAACAGCGCCGCGTACACAGACCAGACCATGCCCGATGGACGCCCACTAACGCTCGAGGAACAGATGGCCAAGCCGTACTTGTCGTACCATGGCATCACCCTGACCCACGACGACGTGCACGTCCTGCGCAACGACTGGCTGACCGACAACAACATCAGCTTCTGGGAGGAGTACTTGGAGAATGAGGTCCTGCCACGGTACCCGCAGGCCCGCATCTCGCTCCTGCGTCCGGCCTTTGGTCTGATCCTGATGACGACCAAGATTGAAGCTGCGCGTGAAGCCCTGCCCAAGTTCAAGGACATCACCCACATCTTCTTTCCCATCTCCGACGCTGCCCTCGGCGACCACATGGGCTCGCGGCGCTCCGATGCGGGCTCGCACTGGAGCCTCCTGCTGATTTCCATTGTCGACGGCGTTGCCTTCCACTACGACTCCTTGAGCTCCAGCAACCTGCGCGTTGCCCGCAACGTCACGGCCCGCATGGCCGTCCTGCTCGGCCGCCCCCTGCGCTTCCGCGACATTGACGACACCCCGCAGCAGGCCAATGGCAACGACTGCGGCGTCTTTGTCTGCGTCCTCATGCGGTTTCTGCTCGTCAAGCGCCTCCTCAACGCCCACGCCCGCGAAAAGGTCTCCATGAGCCTCGGCGGCAAGATGATTGATGCCCAGGGCGGTCGGCAAGAAATGCTCCGCATCATTGAGAACCTGCGGCACGAGGCCGTGCGGCGCCGGAGTGCGTCGCCACTGAAGAAGAACAAGGAGGTACCGCGGATTGAGTAGACGGGAGACAGGACTGCACATCCGTCTCCCCATCTCTCTCTCTCGACGCATCCACGCATACACGCATCCACGCATCCACGCATCATCTCCTACTTCCCGACCTTCCGACTTCCCCTGCATCCAGAGCGTGACTGGCATACTGGCGTATTGGCGTAATGGCTCACTGACGATCAAGACGAGACAAAGATACACGGCAGCCAATGTTCCTTTTCTTTTATATCCGACGTTGTTCTTTCTTTTCTGTTTTCTTTTGCTTTGTATTCATTCTTTTTGGTGTTTTCAGTTTTGTTCCTCCTTTCGTTGGACGTCTTCTCGTGGTATTTTGGATTCTTTGCGAGGTGTTGGTGGATAGGCGTTTTTTAGTTCTTTGATGTCATGCTTTACAACTTCTGACAGGCAACAAAAGTATAAATGGTTTATCATCTCTGTGATTTGAGTGACCGTACAACATGCCAACAGGCCTATAGTGTTTTTCTTTGTGACTATCTGATTTTGACATTTAAAATGATATTCGATCTGATATTGGCGGAATTTCTACGTATCTCTTATTTTAGACAAATGAAATAATGATTAGACGAATTGTATTTTGTTTTTTAAAATTTAATGAAATATTTACTACAGTATAAACAGTTTTAACGCAACAAAAATCGTAACGCCAAGCCACAAAATTGTACAAATATTTGAGTTATGGCATTTGTAAATCAATGCTTTTGTATTGTATCATACACCACGTTAAAAGTGGTAATTCTGTCCCAAACTCTTTTAACCATCCAACGCCTTACGCCTTCTAAATGAACCTAAAAGTAAAACAAGTCGCCCACCCAACGCATCCATCCCTCCTCTATCCCTGCTTGGCAAACGCCGGGTTCTGCTCCATGGTCATGGTGATGTAATTGCGCAGCAGGGCAAAGCGGTTGGCCGTCGATTGTCTTGCAGTCGCTGGCGCGTCGGCGGTTGGGCCACGTTCGGCTTCGGCATCCTCGTCCTTGTCGTTGCCCTTGTCCTTGTCCTCGACATCCATCATAGCGCCGTCTGTCGACTGCACCACATCCTCCTTGACGGCCGTCAGTTGCGCCAGGTTCTGCCCGAAGCGCGCAATCTCGGCCTGCACGACCTTTTCCTTGCGCTTCAGCGACCCGGGCCGTGTCTTGAGGCTCTGCTGCCGCCGGCGCCTCTTGATTCCGTCCCACTCGGCGTACTCGGCGTTCTCGGCGTTCTCGGCAGCTGCGTCTGTCTTGCTGGGGGTATCAATCTCCGGGAGCGAGTCTGCCAGCGACTCCAGCGTGGCCACAAGCTTCTTGGACGGGCGCCGGCGCTTGAGTGGTTTCGTCGTCGGGCCGGCCTTGTCGAGGACGCGCGCGCGGAAGGTGGCCTTGCGGATGAGCTGCTTGTCGCGCTTGGAGTGCAAGAAGGCGTCGCTGACGGTATTGTCGTCGCGATGGACTTTGCGGGGGAGAGTCGGGTCGGCGATGCGGGCGAGGGCCTTGGCCCGGTGGCTCATTTTGGGTGCGACGGGGGCCTGATGATCAGTGCTCTGTGGCAATATGGGGACAATTAAAACTCTGCCGTAGAACATACCATGATGGGTGGTTACGATCCAAGACCGGTGTGTTGTCAAGTAAAGTCGCAGGTCGCAGCTCAGATCATTTTTTGGTTATCACACAACTTTTTGGGGGGAGTGCGATAGCGATAAGATAGAGGGAGAGAGGAATTGATTGTGGCTGAGCTGCCTATATAAGCTAATCCGGAACGGTTTTCTTCCACAACCGAACAATAAGGTGGGATGCCAGAGTGGTCTAATGGGTATGATTAGAAATCATATGGCTTCGGTCGCGTGAGTTCAAATCTCACTCCCATCGTTCATTTTTAGGTTTTTTATCAACTTTTTTTTTTTGGAGGACCTCGCCACGCTTGAGCGGCAAGCTCCGAGAAGCTCTGCATTTAATACAAACCCCTCTCTTTACAAGAGAATCAACACATGAAGATGTACCATTCGGCTGTTTCCTAGGATTTTGATAAATTGTTTTATGTACAATTTTACATTTTTATTTCGATACGCTTTTTCATTATTTTCACGGACTCCCCTTCCCCGACACATGTCAGCCGATTTACGACGTCGCATTGCATCGGCCGAAGCCGAGTTGCAGTCGCTTCGCGAACAACTCGTGAAGGTTGAACAGGAGGAGCGTCTCCAGCAGCACCAGCATGCACCATCAAGCTGGCCCTGGCCACTCCAGTCCGATGAATACGAACGTTATGCGCGCCAATTGATCTTGCCCGGCGTCGGCGTCGAGGGCCAGCTGCGGCTCAAGAAGGCGTCTGTGCTGATTGTCGGCGCGGGCGGCCTGGGCTGTCCTGCGGCTCTGTACCTGGCCGGCGCTGGTGTGGGCCATCTGGTGCTGGTGGACGGCGACACGGTTGAGGCGTCGAACCTGCACCGGCAGATTGGGCACACGTCGGCGACCGTCGGGGCGTACAAGGTGGACAGTCTGGCGGCGGCGATGCGCGCGCGGAACGGAAGTGTGCGGTACACGGTGCACCGCGAGCACTTGACGGTGGACAATGTGGGTAGGCTTGTAGGCGGCTGGGAAAGCGAGAAAAGCGAGGACACAAAACTCGACCTGGTGCTGGACTGCACCGACCATCCGGCCATTCGGTACCTCATCTCGGACGCCTGCGTGCGCGCTGGCATTCCGCTCGTGTCGGCCGCGGCTCTCCGCACAGACGGACAGCTGGCCGTCCTCAACCACCCCGTGGGCGCGGGGCCCTGCTACCGGTGTGTGTTTCCACGGCCGCCGCCGACGGCCAGCCAGACATCGTGTGCCGAGGGCGGCGTGCTGGGCCCTGTGGTGGGCGTCATGGGCGTGCTGCAGGCGCTGCAGGCGATCCGCGTGCTCGTGTCTGGGTCGGCAACCGTCACGGTCACGACTAAGACGGTGCCGCCGGCTCCGACGCTCACGCTCTTCTCGGCGGGCGGTGCCGGCGGTGGACTGGTGCCGCCGTCGTTTCGGACGGTACGGCTCAAGGGCCGGCGCGCAGACTGTTTTGCCTGCTCGGACGACGCACCGTTGAAGACGATGGCGTCGCTGGGCGATGCGTGGCCCGACTACGTGCAGTTCTGCGGCGGCAGCACGGCCGTGACGCAGCACATTCTGCAGCCCGAGGAGCGCGTCTCGGTGTCGGCCTTCCGGCAAGTGCACGCGGACGGCGCGACCACGAGCGACGGGCGCGACAAGGCGGCGACGAAGCAGCGGCACTGGCTGCTGGACGTGCGCGAAAAGGAGTTTTACAACATGGGCACCATCTCCGGGGCGATCAACGTCCCCTTCTCGCAGACGCAGACGGGGACGACAGGCGAGGGTTTTCCGTCGTGGCTCCCCGACGGCATGGCCGACGATACAGCGCCCATCTATCTGGTATGCCGCGTGGGCAACGACTCGCAGGTGGTGACGCGGCAGCTCAAGACGCTGGGCCTAGATAGAGGCGGCGCACGGTTTGTTGGCGACGTGGCCGGCGGCATACTTGCGTGGAAACGCCAAGTCGACTCGACGATGCCGTTTGTGTGATGTATTTTTTGTGGTTACGGGTACATTTAGGTTTCATATTCCAGAGCACATATTCAGTCGTACAATGCATCATGACGTTCATGCAAGAGTTGGATTTGTTATTTATTTTTGCGCGCAAATAGTAGTAACATGGACAGCAAAGCAGCTTGTCCCCTCCTCCTCCTTTTTCCCTTCCGCCCTTTTGATTTCGTCCACGTCCTTTCCCCGGCCTCAAACAAACGTTGTCCGCTTCTTGTTAAAGGCCCGCTGGTCCTTGAGCCACTGCCGGTAGCCGGCCACGCTCGAAATCTTCTCGCCGTAGAAATCGGGCACGGGGTTGCCGGCCGACGACGCCGTCGGGTCCACGCGGTTGCGCTTGATGCGTGCAAAGAACTGCGTCTCCTTGAGCGTCATCTGCGCCTTGTACGGCCGCTTCCACGCGTAAAACACGACGTTGCCCACGCTCGGCCCGGCCAGCCAGCCCAGCGTCGCAAACCCAAACGTCATCAGGCCCAACGTCAGGAACGGGTCTAGCGGGATCGTGCTCAGGATGGGCTCGGCCACGCCGGAGCCCAGGAACAGGCCGCCGGCCAGGCCGCCCGTCAGGCCGCCGGCCACGCTAAAGGCCAGCTGGATGCGCCGGCGGGTCTTGCGCAGTGCAAAGAAGGTGTTCCAGTCGAGCGGCGGCAGGTCCTTTGGAGACGCATGGGCGTCGGCGGTGGCCGCAGCGATGCGAGCAGCAGCCTGAGCATCGGCGGCCGCATCCCGGTTGCGCGTGGCACCCGTCGGTGGTGGCGGGCGGTGCATTGCTGTAGATGACGAGAAGGAGGCGGAGGACGAGGAGGAGAAGGAGGAGGACGACGAAGGAGTGTTGGGTGCCGTTCGCCGGACAGCGGCAGACGGAGGAGAGGCGAGCTTGCGCTTCAACGGCAGGGCAACGCGAGCCGAGGACACGATCGTGCGGCTCTGCAGTGCAATGTTCGTCGGCCGCCGCACAAGGAACGCCGCCGAGGTCTTGGCCGAGGTCTTGGCCGACGTGTTGGCCGACGTGTTGGCCGACGTGTTGGCCGATGCTGTAGCGGCCACAGCAGGTCTGTGCAGGCTGCTGCCCGTCCGCGAGGCCGCAGCCAGGCCCGGGCGAAGCAGCGTCGGGGCTGTCGTGGTGAGCATGGTGGAGATGTGGTTGTCGTGCGCAGTGACTGTCACTGTTGTTGGCGTTGCCGTCGATGATGTCGTCCACTTGGCGGGTCGTTGGGCGTAATAGCGAGTGAGATACGAAATACAGATTACAGAGACCGCTGCAACGAGAAGGCGCTCTTGTGCAGGAGAAGACCGAAAAAAGGTGCAAGCTTGCTAGCGCGAAGCGGGGTCTTGCCTGCCAGCGACGTAATACGGGCCAACATCGAGTGGCACGTGATCTTGTGTAGATGGAGTGTGAGCTGTGCTCTTTGGCTGCGGCCGTTGTCAATATGACAATGAAACTACATGAACATAACAGGAGACGAGCCCATGAGGAAAGGCCTCAGTTATTGAACCGCAATACCTCTGTAGGGTTCGTAGTCGATGAAGGGCTGCTGTAGCTCCGCCTGGTAAAAGAGCCCAGCACCTTACGGCATGTCTCCACTTTATTTTGTCGTGACTGCCGCGTCTCACCTGAGCTTCAGTGAACGCCGTCTGTTGACCCAACTGTGCATTTTGCTGGCCCTCGCACTCGCCAGTCTTGCCAACGCGAGTCGACGCCCAACCGCGTGCACAGCACAACGGCCATGTCTGAATCCATGGCATCGCGTCCTTGACCGTCTTTGACTGTCCTTGACAGCCCATCCCTGCTCAACACGATGCCACGGCCACGGCGCGTCGAGCCGCTGCCGCCCTCATCGACCACGCCGACTTCCTTCTGCTCGACGCCCGCCTCGTCTTCACAGAGACACCGCCGTCCTGAACTGCGTGTCCTCCTCTATGATAAGCCGCGCTACCGCGTCCAAGCACACGCTCCACGGCCGCCGCCCACGCCCATCTCCCTCGTCCCGCCACGCAACGACGACTATGGCGCTTTTATTGTCGACAAGGTCGTCACACCGCTCGACTGGGGTGGACCACCGGCGGTTGGTACGGCTGCCGATTTGCGGATCCGTCCGGGAGGGGATGACGACGACGACGACGTCGACGATGACGATGGGTACAACACGGACGAGGAAGAGGCCCGGGAGGACGAGCGGTACCGCCAAGACCCACGGCGGCAGCACGTGAAGCGGGTGCTCAACTACGTCGTGGGCTGGCCGGACGAGCCGTATGCGCGGCAGCTGGTGCCGTGCACGCAGATCCTCGACTATGTGTCGCCGCGGGTCGTCGAGGACTGGGAGTATGCGCTGACGGAGCGGCAGCGGGCGGCGCGCGAAGCACGGCGGGCCGAAAAGGCGGCCAAGAAGAAGGGGACACAGACGACACAGGCGACACAGGGGGCACTCACCAAGACAAAGCACGAGGAAGACGGCGCCACCGGCGGCCTTTCACACAAAAGGAGACCAGGCCGGCCACCACAGACCGCTGCCGCTACAGCAGCAAGGGTGGCAGCCGCAGCGGCGCGGAAAGCCGCAGCCCAGGGCCTGCCATCGACGCCAGCCAAGATGGCCAGTTTGCAGATCCAGCTCGACTCGATGCCCGCGTCGACACCCATGGGCGTGGGTGTCTCTATTGGCGGGCCATCGCCGAAGCTGTTCTCCTCGCCTGGGTCTGCCGAGAAGCAACACGCCGGGCCGTCACTCAAGCGCCCATTTCAAAAGTTTGTCGAGCAACAGAAGGCCGACGAAAGCGAAAGCCGGGGCGCGAGTCTGGGCGTGGATACGGCCACCACCACTACGACGAATACAAGCGCCAACAGCGACGAAGGAAACGGGGACGAGAACGACGACGACAATGACGACGATGAACTCCAGGGTCCGGCCACCAATCAGCCACATGCTATGGTCATGCTCCCGTCCCTGCGGGAGCCGCCCGTCCTGTACGAACCGTTACCCCAACAACCACTCCCTCGGCCATCGACGTACATTCCGCCGCCGGACACGCCACTCTACAACCCACCCATGAACCGACCCCAAGTCAAAGGACCATCCACAGCCACGCCCATCCCACTGCCACCAACAGCCCAAGCACAGCCCTCCCTGAAGCGAAAACGCAACGAGGAGACACCCATACCACCGCCAACGATTCCTATAGCAACCCACCCCGCCAAGGACGCCATCGCCGTACTGCCTCTACCCGGCCCTGCCCCTGCGCCCAGAGACGAAGACGGCGGAGACGACGACGAGGCAGACGACCTCTACGAAGTCGACCGCCTCGAAGGCGACTGTCTCACTGCCGTCGACGCGGACGGCCATGCCGTCGTGGACGAGCCCGTGGACTGGGACGACCCCCTGCATCAGCCGCCGCCCGGCAGCCGCGTTGTGCGTCTCTTCCTCGTCCGCTGGAAGGGCGACTGGCCACCGGACCAGAACCCCTCCTGGGAACCCGCCGAGAACCTGCCGCCGCGCATGGTGCGCCAGTACCTCAAGCACGCCGCCCATAAACAGGCCCGCCGGGGCAGCAAGGGCGCCGGCGAACAGCGTGCTGCGCGTCATTCCATGGCATGACATGACGCAGTAGCATGGGCCACATGTACATACTCAGTGCTTGCATGGTTGTAAATACGAAAGAATTCGAATGCCAAGCTGCTATCAATTTCCCTTGACTATGGATGCAAATTCAGTCAACTTGTGTCCGTCAAATTAAAGTAAAAAACCAAACTGACTGTCCACAAACCAGGACAATGAACGGAATACAAACAAATAAAAAACGCAGCGCGAATGAAACACGCAGTCAACTGCACCGCCAGTGTCTTCTTTATTACCCAGTTAACCCTATTCTCTGTCCTGCGCACCACTACTACCCTCCACATAGTCTCACATGTTTCAACCTCTCCGTTTCTTTCCATCTCGCTCCCTTTCCCGATATAATCCCTTGCCGTGTCGTCACTAGCTATCGAGCCAAGTTGCTCCTCACATTTGGTCCAAACCCACCATTAGATCCGTTGTCCATGGCGCACTCAAGCTGCCGCGGGAGAAACCATCCCACTGCGACGCAGGAACACTGTTCTGGCTGGTGGTTTCCGGAGTCGTGTCAAAACACAGATCAATGAGCGTGTTGTCATAATTGGTCTGCGCTTCTGTCTGTCCATGTGTCTCAGCCTGCGACTGCGTCTGCTTTCTTGCCCGAGACGAATATGACTTGGTGCCGCTGTTCTGGGAGGCAGCCACCACTCGAGCCGTCGAGAGGAGCGTGGCAAAAGACATTTTGCCAACCGCAAGAGGCGCCGCGTTTCTGTTTGCAGCAATGGGGGGCTTGATGTGGCTGCGGGAGTATGAGGCGAGCCCAACGCTCTCCAAGAGAGACTTGAGCCCCATGTACCCGTGGCTCGCGAGCTTTATCCCGTTGCTGTCGAAGAGGCCACACAAGCTGCCATTGTCGACAGGCGCTGCGCAAGGGTCCGGCACAAAATGAACTTGTGAGGCATACTTCTCAAAGTGGAAGATGGACACGATGCGATGCGCTTTCTCGGCTTCCCGGATGCTAGTGAAGTGCATGTGTAGGTTTTCGTCAGCGAACCACATCTCTTCTAGAGCGTTCATATTTGATGGAAAGCGCCGGACATCGAGCAAGAGCTCGGTGCATAGATCGTTGACGAACTGCTTGGGAAAGTCCTTCACAACAATACAGCGTGTTTTCTCCTCAACGGCAACCAGGCCCCGATTTGGCGAATCTGCTGCCACAATTGTCTCACGGGACGGGTACGTGTGCGTCGGCAGCAACTTGATGGACATTCTCGATGCCGGGTCGAGAGGCCCCCCTTCAAGTTCCTCTGAGCGAGCCAGCAAAACAGGCGTGATTGCCATACAATCGGCAGCCTGCTGCGCAGTCTTGAATGTGATCATGGCGACCTGGCCGTGTCTAGGACCCAGAGTATCGGGGACAAGTCGCGCCATGATAACAACACCTCCATGGATATGTGCTAGGAGCTTGTGCATCGAAAAGTCGTGCGGGATGTTCCGAATGAGAACGGAGCGGCGATTGTCATTGCCTTGGCTAGAGCCAGTGATCCCGGCCACAGTCTCAGCGTCGAGCTTGAATGGATTGAAAACAATCCCAAAGCGATCCGCGTTCTTCGGAGAGGCATGCTTAACGCTTATCATTCCGGGAGGCAGATTCACCTCTGCAGTTGCATGATTAGAGAACCACTTCCGGTTTCGAGGAAACATTTGTTGGTATGAGAATGCTGGTCGCTCACCGTCAAGTTCGTCGTCAATGTCTGTTGCGACGTCTGGCAGGAAAGGGGCAGCACCGGGAGCCTTGCGCGCTCCGTCGATAGCAGACTTATCTTGCCCAATTGCAGCAAATCCCGCTGCCGAAGTGGGCAGGTAGCTGTGTGCCGTCTTGTTGCCGACACCTTGGTTGGCTCTGCTGCTTGGCGTCACTTGCGTCTGTGTCTGTGGGACCTCGGATATGGGTGCCAGGGGCACTGACGGCCGAAGGAACGTCTTCTTGAGCAGTTGACCTTCTTTCTCGGCGATGCGGCGCTTCTCATCAGCAGACTCACGCATTCTCTTCCGGGTGGCCTCTTCCTTCTCACGCAGGACAGCACGCATGGCAGCGCGGCTCATAGCCGGGGCATCGGCAATACCTTCAAGTTCCTCTTCAAGAGAAAACTCTTGCCAGATTTCGTCTGCATCATCACCGCCGTCACCTCCACTGCTGCCAAAATGGCCACCGGTCTTGCCGGATTGCTTAGTGCTTTGGGGATTGGTCAGAACAAGATGCTTAGCCTGCTGCTTAGTTTGCTGCTTAGGATGCTGTTTGATTTCTGGCTTGGCCTGCTGTTTGACCAGTGGCCGGGCGCTCGGTTTGTTCTGCCGATCACTCGTCGCCGTGTCTTGCTTCTTGGGCATCATCGCCTTTCCAGAAGTGGCTGCCTCCTTGACCTCCCCTGCTTTGTCAGTCGTGTTATTGGTCTTCAAGCCCTTGAGGGGGGTGACACCAAGAAGATCTGGGCGGCCTTTGGGATCCCCAGGGCCATCAGAGGCGCTGAAGTCATCTGAGCTGGTCGCAGGAGACAATTGACTGTTAGCTTCAGTAGATGGAGGGGTTTCTGTGTTGCCTCCGCTGCCAGGCAGGACTGAAGCAGGTAACACAGCAGTGGCACTCATCATGTGCTTGGTATTTTGGATGAGCAAGTTCTTGATGGCCACAAGTGCTTGGGAGCTCTTCTGAGGCATTGACGCAATGTTGTAGATCTGCGTGAGGACGAGGACATTGTTTGCGTTGCTAAGAGAGACGGCACGCAACTGGTCCTGTGCCAGACGTAACTCAGTCTCCAACTGCAGAACTCGTTTTGCCTGCCAGACATCCTCGGCAGGTGCGTGAGGTGGGGAAGCCATCTTTTCGAGCTGTTGGAGTCTCAAGGCTCCGGTGTTTGCCGTGCTAAAAAAAGCAAAGGTCAGCGTACAGTGAAAGTGAAGTGAGTTATACAGGTGCGTGTCTTGGCTTCGACAGAATGTATACCTTGTGGGAGTAGGTAACAGGATCAGACAGAAGGCCGGAGGATCATATGGAGCCAGAGACTGCTTGGCCGTAAAGAGAAGTGATAGAGGAGAAAGAAAAAGAGAGAAGAATACAAAATAAGAATATGCCGAAGAAGAACGGCCGCAGGTGATAGGGACGAAGTGTCGGCTGTAGTAGTTCTTCTTTTTTCTCGTTGTTGGAGCTGGTGTGATGCTCAGTTAGCTTTCAGAATAAAACGGCCGGGAGGTTTTACAAGTCATGTCTCTCCATGGGCAAGTATGCAGAAGTCAGAAAGCGATTAGGTGTTGAGGGATAGGAAAGTGAAAAATGGGCACTTTTGACATTGACAGTGTTTTTGATATCATGTCTATGGATGCGATGCAGTCCGATGGAAAGAAGGGAAAGCTACTCGAGGAAAATTATGATGTGCACGATAAAGAAACCTACTCTGTCGTGCTGTGACCGCGTTGACACCACAAGCTGTCTTTTCCGGTCAGGAAGGGTGGTTGTCGGTGCCGCAGTAGCACAACACCTCGAATGGGAGGAGACTGTCACCGTTTGCTCAACCGAAGTGGACTTGAGAATGTATCGGCGCGAGAGCACTCCGTGGAAACTTGTGGATTTTGAAAGAATTCCAGGAAATGAAGTGCGGAGGGAGGGCAAAATCTCCTATGTCGTCGAGCAGATGCATCGAAGAGATGGTCAGCAACAAAAGCAGAGCAGTGACAGGGGTGAATGGAGGGGAGGATGGTGACGAGGAGAATCAGTCAACAAACGACGATGAATGCAGACGCTCAATGACCAAAAAAGGGCTCTCGCTCGAGGGCGTAGTTTAGTTTGGAGGGCACAACATTGCAATTGGTTTTTACCTTGTTTTGCCTCTCGCGCTGCTCCGCCCTCGTTTCCGGGTGTCTACCTTCCTTCTTTCCTCGTCTCTCCAGTCGCCCTTTCCTTGCCTTTCGTTGTTGTCTTCCAATGGAAAGATAACAGAAGTGGCCCGTCAATACGTCCTTTTGGTAGTCAGCAAAACAATAATGGTTAGAAATAATAGAGAGAAAGAGTTGACATGGGAAGCAAAATAGAAGGCTCCATGGAGCACATGATGGTTAGGATCAACGCAGACGTACTTTGACAACGAAATGACGGCCGTACTTATACTGCCATTTATATCAACATGAATATGCGGAGCTCTAGGGAATAACGGAAAATCAAAATATTGTGGATGGGAAAGGTCGGAAAATGGAAGAAACGAGGTAACACGCTAGAGAGCACGTCCAATGCACGCGGTTTGGTGCTTGCTACCCAGAAAGGGGGGGCGACGTGATGACCCCGATTTGGAAAGAACCATCCCATTAAAACTCGCTGAATGGAGTAATGTGTGAAAGAAAAGAAGAAAAGAAAAGAAAAGAAAAGAAAAAAAACAGGAAGGCTCGATTCATCATTGCACACAATAGGAAAGAGAGCACCTAAGGTTCAGGCGTTCAGCGCCGGATCAACCGCCATGAAAAATTACAGGAAAGGAGAGTGGTAACACTGCAACACTGCCCACGATCTTCAAAAGTATGTCACTACCACCCCATTTTCTCTCCATTGTCACCCTCGCGGGTGCTCTATCTAAATCTACCAATTTTGGTGTACCATGATGACAAGGAAGGAAAGAAATTTAGGAGGCGACAGAAGGGCCAAGCCCAATCAAACGAAGTCATACAAGAACAGACATGATCAAACAGGATTCAAATGCCATGCCAAGGGCGAACACAACTTGCAAGGGAAGACGAATTATGGCCAGTCAATGGAAGACCTTGGTAGCCAACAGAGAGAAGAGGTAAAAAGAAAAGAAAGACAGAAACCAGTGGTACGCAGAAAGTCTTCTACAGGACAGTCATGTTTTGAGATTAAATTCTCGCCAGACGTGAAAACTTGACATTCATGACTGGGCCTTCATCACCAGAGACTGTTCTGCCTTCAGCAGCGCTTCTGTGCCGGCGTCAAATTCGGCCTGTGCTGCTGCTGACAACAGCTGGCAGGGCTTCCGCGGCACCGGGCTAGGAAGACTGCTCGCCGGGGCGCCACCGATCGACCCAAACGACTGCAGGCCGTGCTTGACACCGACAAACCCATATCGAATGGCCAACCAATCGCCCTGGGCCACAATGGCCTGCAGTGCTCGAGCCTCCTCGATCCGGCCTGCATGGAAGAGATCCAGAATCGATGTGCACGCACGCGGCGACAAGTTGGCCAGCCCCGAGATCGATCCATTGGCCCCGACGACGGCCCCCTGCAAGATGAAGTCGGCGGAACCGCCGGCCACGAAGAACGGATTCTCCGAGCCCGGACCCCGGCCCAGAGCAGACACGCCCGCCACGATACGCGCCAGCTTGCCCGTGTTGCCGCAGGTCAGCTTCACACCCACAATGTTGGGGTGAGCGCCGGCCAAGGCACAGATGGTGTCGCTGTCGAGATCGATGCCGCTCGCAGCAGCTGGGAAGTTGTACACAAGAACCGGGATCGGGCTTTGGCTGGCGACGGACAAGAAGAACTCGCGCAATTGGTCCCGGCCGAGGATGGAGGCATAGTACCCAGGCGGCAGGACCAGAGCATGGGTGGCTCCGGCACTGGCTGCCTCGACACAAAGATCGACCGTCTCCCGGACGGACTGGGCACCACAGCCGGCCAGAATAGGGAATGGCGTGGCAGAATCCTCGAAGCGGTCGGCCCGGACGGCATCGACAACAGCCTGGATGTTGCGGATCCGCTCTTCGTGCGTCAGATGAGCAGCCTCGCCGTTGGAACCGTGCAGCAGGATGCCAGCAACACCTGCCTGCTGCAGTCTCGCAGCCTGTTTCTGCATCGATGCCAGATCCAGATCCTCCGTCTCCGGCTCGAAGAAGGTGAGCATAGGTACATACACCCCATCTGGCAGGTGTCGAGAGCGATCTGCGGCAGCAGAGGTTTGTGTCTGGGTGCCGGATGCAGTAGCCCCGGTGACAGTGGCCGGGGTTCGAGGCGTCTTTGGGGGTGTCTCGGAGCTGTCCCCGGAGGAGCGGCCGACCGGACCAACATTGATTGACAACGAAGACATTGTGGGAAAATAAACGAGACGAGAGCAGAGAGGGAACACAAACTTGAAGTAAAAAGGAGGTGGGATGAAGATCAAAGTATGATGAAGGACTCGAAAACAGAGTGGGAGCAACAATGGATATTTGTATCAAGACAGATGGACCGGCCTAGGAGATGGGCGAGATATTACCGGGCTTCGTCCGTGACGCCTGTGACAGTACAAAGGAGAAAAGGAGGGGAAAGTATTGGGGATGCCGAATGTCGTCCAACGATAGAGAGCGTGACGAGTCATTACACAGCAAGCATAGACAAGATCCTTGGCGACTCTCTCTCGCATTGTGTAAAAAGGGTGTTGTGTCACAAGAAAGCACGGGAAAGATGGCAGCAAGGAACGAGTGAGTGCAACACAAGTGGAAATTGTGGCCGTGAACCGATCTGCGGAGGAAAAAAGGTCGATGCACCGGAGAAGTTAAGTGCCACCAGTCGGAAGGCTATCACCGGCAAGTACGACAGTCGGTGCTAAGGTTCTGGGCAGCGGAGAGTGCGTCCGTATGACAAGCATTAACGACCTGCGTGTCAGAGGGGGTGTGAAGAGGAGGAGTAAGAGTAGATTAGCTGCACGACTACTACAATCACTAGCGAAGGAGGCAAATACACGACGGTCTAAGAGGAAGAAAGGCACCGCCAATTAGCTTGGCTCTCCCATCGTCCCTTCCTGGTGTAACAAAATGAGACGATGACAAGGGAAGGCGCGAAAAACGCAAAACAGCAATGCCGAAACTTCCCGTCGAGGTAACGCACTCGCCATGGCATTCGTCCTTTTTTGCGCCTTTCTAGATTCTCAAAAAGGTATTGCTTCTTCTAAGCCCACTTGACGATAGCTTGTTATTGATTGGCTCGGAGCAGGAGATCACAATAACGCATGCAACTTTGGACAGGGGGAGCTTCAATGGGAGCACACTGGAAGCTCGCGCGGAGTGTGCCAGCACCAGGCGAGAGAGACGAGCAAGTGGGCAGGCCGACTGGAACGCAATGGAAATAACAAGAAAGCATCTAATGATGACCGTTGGCAGCTTGCACGCCGTGGTGTGAATGGGGGAGCAGCTCCAGGAGGTCGTACATTGTGGTGTATGTGGGCGGTGTTCCCAGCTGAGCGGCTAACGTGGGGGGTTGCACCTTACAATCGGCCAATCTGCGTGCGGAGAAGGCAAAAGCACAGCAGGGCAAACAAGGAAGGAAGCAAGGGGACGCAAGCAAAAGCGGGGCAGGTGTCCGCGTGAGGAAGCAGCAGATCACCATTGTGCCTGTTCCAGAAGGTAGGAAACGGTGCCTTTGACGTGTGGGTGTGTGTGTTTCTATGATTTTGTCTGCATTGTCTTCCCAGGCATCAATATCGTGCAGAAGCGTCGATCGTCAGTTGCACCTCACCTCCATTCTATGGAAGGGTCCCAAGAGATGAGATATCTCGAATGCTTCAACTTCGCGACGCTACTACAATTACGAACGACGCCCTAGCTGACGCAGCTGGTTTACGACATAAGTGGAGGCATTGTAACGACAGTGACAATTGGACTTGTGCTTCTGCGACACAAACAAAAGTTTTGAGTCTTGTACTCTGGACTCCGTATTGTGGTGGTCCTGGTATGACATTGGAGGTGCAGACGAAAACGCTCTCTCGCCGTCCTAACTGCCGGAGTTGATTCCCCGGGTCGGGTTGGTGACCGGTTTCCTCACACAGAGAGCCAAGCCACGCTGCCTAGCAGGGCGAGAAGGGTGAGAAGTATGCCCGAATCCTTCATGTCCGACGCGAGAAAAG